TGCTTTGGAAATGCATATGTGAAGGGTGGATTTCTACGTGTCTTGGTTTGTGGCCCTCCAAAGGGGAGATTCGGCTAGCAAAAGTGATTCCACTGTGAAGGGCGCCTAGTTTCAGTTGAGTCGGTAGGAACTAGGAAATTAAGGTTCCTTTTATAGCCTCTATATTATATGTGAGAGCAAACTTTTTCGACGGTGTTAAAACTTAAAAGGGATGCTTCTCAAAAAGTTCAAATAATGGATTATGGACCGTCGTTATTTGGATGAGATAGTTAAGGTTTATTAGGCAACTATGCATATGATTTAGATGATTTTATTATCAATTTAGTGATAATATGATGCTCTGTGTCAGATAAATACAAAAATTAAAAAGTGAGGGTGAGAATTTTTGTGATGTCAAAATATTAATAGTTATTAGATCTTAAGAAAACAAAAAAAAATTAAAACATGATGTTTATGAAGGAAAAATAACAATATAATAAAAAGTGAGACAGAAAATAGCACAGAATGTGAGACAGAAGATCCGTCGTTGCATGTCAAATTATATCATATGTCCGCATCAAATTTGTTGGTTGTCTTCTTTTCTTTTTTTTTGTCAGCAATGATACATTTGTATACCCTACTCTATCCTAATCTATGCATGAGATCCTCGGTGACATGTTTTCTGTGCCAATTCAATGCCACCTATAATATTGCGCCAAGTGTCCTGTTATTATTTACACTTTAATTTTCTAATAATTCAACTTGGTTTGGTTTAACACAAGTGTAAATAATAACAGGACACTTGGCGCAATATTATAGGTGGCATTGGATTGGTACAGAAAACATGTCACCGATGATCCCAATTGCCTAATCTAAGGGGGAGGGGGAGCCTAAGGAGGCTGTCGTAGGAGCTAGTGGGTATACAGACCCAACTAGACTAAGAGAGTGCTATGACACAGCCCTTAGATTTTTTTCGCTGCAAGTGAAATTCGAACCCTTACCTGCAGCCCAAAAAGGGACTTAAATCTCTCTCTGGTGGCCACTGAGCTATTGGCCCAATGGTTTGTTGTTGTCTTCAAAGCAGCAAGAATGGGCCGTCGGGTACCCAATTTTCGCTCTCTTTCTCTTTTCGAATCTTATTAGAGTCAGTGGACTTCTCAATGAGTGGGTCTCTTCACCTGCATGAGCCCAGCCCAATTTTTCCCACCGCGGTGTTTACTTTGCTTCTTGGAAAACTTAAGGCCCAATACCAGAATTCTTCAATTTTAATGAGAAATTCTGTTCCCACGCAGAGGTTCCAGAGTAGATGAGTTTGAGCTCAAATTATTATCGGATCCTCCGGATGAGATTCGGGCCTTACTATCCTCAGATTGTATCAAATTGACTCATCTTAGCGCTACAGCCTCCATCAGAAACGGTAGGGCAAACTTGAAAGGGAATTCAGACTTGATTTGCAATGGTCCCTGTCAAAATGGCCATCTACGATTAAATTTAGTACATTCAACCTCGAAAGAAAAAAAAAGGGATAATATCAGAAACCTCCCTTGAGGTTTCTCTTAATATCACTTAGCACCCTTGAGATTTTAGAAATATCACTTACCTCCCCACTAATAATTATAAAAAGACTATATTAACCCTCACTTAACACATAATTTACAACATATTAAATAAATGAAACTCAAAATTAAAAAAAAAAATGGAAGTCACTTACTTCTTTTTCCCTTTTCTCCATCATTCTCTCTTACTCATATTTTTTGAATGAATATGCAATATTATATTATAAATTATAACAAATTAAATTTTATTTATCTTTTACTTTTTGTGATTGTGATAAAGTAGGGTACTATTTATTTGCTTATTTTGAGTTGATTTTTTTTATAATAATTGGTATAATTTACTGGTTTGAGCAAGGGTTAAGAATATGGTGGAAAAAATATAAATTCATAAGAAATCGATTTTGAACATATCGAATTAAATTGATACAAATGTATTTCTTTTCAAATATCATTTTTATTTTTCAAATTTATATTTTTATGGGGTATAGCATTGTGATGTAATAGTACTACAAGAGATTGCTTTTGAAGTGATGGTTTTCTTGAAGTGAACAAAGTGACTTAGAAACATTTTTATTTAGTAAGTGAATGGGTAGTTTAGGGTTTTTAAAAATTTTGTTACACAAATAACTAAAGTAAGGGAGGTAAGTGATATTTTTGAAACCTTAGGGGTATTAGGTGATATTAAGAGAAACCTAAGGGGAGGTTTCTGATATTATCCCAAAAAAAATAAAAGGGAAAAAAAATGGTAGTAATAGTTAGGGAAGATTTTGATTTATTACTCTTTTCATTAAAATTAATTGACCAAGAAGTAAAATACTTAAAACGCTTGAGCGAATCCAAGCCCGAAGTGACCAAGAAAGGATCTTAAAGTACGGTGCATTTCTTGGAAAACCCAAGGCGAGACCACGGAACTTGAAAACCAACTAGGCCGGCGGGGGAGGGGACCAATTGCGTGCTGGGCCTGACGCGGAAGCCATTTTCCTAGGTACCAATAATTCGACCGTGTTAAACGGCAATTTTTGTGAAAGATTTAGGGGGAAAAAAAAAAAGAAGACGAAGAAGAAGAAGAGAGTACCAATAATTCGAAACAAGAGCAGTATGTTCACGAAAGATATGGTTGTCTCAATTTACATATGGGTGGGGATTGGGTGCCCCTCTGTGCCCTGTACGAACAGGAAAGTTTATCAGATTGTACCCAAAATTAAAAGCCCAATCATTTTGTCTCATTTTCCAAATTTTTATCCGAAGAAAATAACCCAAACACCAAGGTTACAAAAGCAGCCATACAGTGCTACTCAAGAAAATATTTTTATCCTTTTTAATATGCCTTAGAGGCCTCGGAAAATGAGTCCCGAGTACAAAAATCTCCCTTCTCCTTCCCACCTTTTAAATCTCGCCCTTCCTCCACTTAAAAGATATACCCTAAACTTAATCTTGGTTCATTTCCAATAAATGTGAACTTGAATGTCTATGCTTTTCATTTGCCACCATTTCCTTTTCTAGTTATCTTGAAAATTTTGTCCCTGTTAGAGTCAAATACTATAGTCAAGTTTCATGAATCCGTCATAAGGCTGCTTTAGCATCAAGGACTATTGAAAGTTGGATCTAGATTGTTAACTTCATATATTTTGGGAAAAAATTACCAGTATAGATGTCATAGAGCAGCGCTCTTAAACTGTGTGTTGGTCAAAGTCGCCAATGAAGATGGGATCAATATGGTACTATGAAAAAGATAAAAAGCTTTATGTTAATACTACTGTGTTTCACTTGTCAAAAGAAAAAATATCCTTCTAAAACTTTGAAATTTTTGTGTAAATCTTTTAGGGATCTATATATTCAAACGCACAAGTGTGTGTTGCATCAGGATTGATTTCATTTTATCCTAGGAAGGTTTTGATTGATTGATTAAATCTAGAAATGCACGTATCTATGATTGTCAATGACAAGACTTTCCCTATGGTGGGTTACTAATCAAGTGCTTAGGGAATAGTTTGCTATATTATGAGTTCTCAGAAGTGGTTTTTCATATCATGGATTCTCTCTACTTTATCTTCTTGGTTATAAAATCTTTGAACTAATTGATGCCTCTTGCTTGTATCTTTGATTTACAATTTGGAAATTTACTTTCTCAAAAAGTAGTTTAGCTGTCCTTTGTTGAGATGCACTTGGTGGATCCCATCTTGTATGCAGGAAGGCTAATGTTCTTGTATGGTCTTTTTGAGTATTTGGGCCAATTTAGCTGAATCATAGATTACAAGGTGTCACATAGCCTTAATGTGTATGAATGCTAATTCTCCTTGTCTTTCCTGTCTTGTGATCTTAATTCAACTGAAAGGAGAAACTGAGTACATTGCATGATACCCCTGCTGCTTGGGTTTAGCAAGGGGGAAGTAAAATCATATTAAAGCATTGATTTTGCATAAAGAAATGGACTATCCTTACCAATACCAATTTTTAATGGGGCATACTTTTTGACTGAGACTCATCTTTACTCTTGATGCTTTTGGAGAGGAATACTTACCAGGATAAAGAGGTTAGAGAATCATATTAAGGTGGTGGTGGATCAGAAGATAATTAGTGATAGAATGTGGTTGGTATTTAAAATTATTTTGTCTTGGACATTCCAATGTAATGTGGATGAACTTCCCAGATATCATATTTTTGAGCATATGCAGTGTACGCCTCTATGGATAATATGGCCAGTCTTGATACAAAGTCTTCTTGACTATCTTAACGTCTGTATGTTTTACTTCACATAAACATGGGAAGATAGTCTTATAAGTTCTTAGTCTTCTAATAATCTAAAGGCTTTTGCTCCTTGGATAATGCTTTCACAAGAGAAGTTGGACTGGTCAAGCAATTTTCAGTTAATTTCCTGCATGGGTACTTATCCTTGTTGACACATCCTGGTCTGATATGGTCATTGTTCTTTCTGCCCTGATCCCTTCTCCCTGAGTGGTGCTGTACTGGCTAAGGCAATTTTAAGTTTAGGCTACCATGTTGTCCCTGATACTGTGTTTGCACCAACTAATGTGGTAGAGCTATTGAAGTTTATGCTTTCAATTCGCACGGGAGAAATACATAATGGGATGGGAGCCAAAAGTGCCAAGTCTTGGACTGGTATAAGGGAGGAAAGAGAATAGTAAGTGAAATTTTATTTCTTTTTAGTCTCGCAACTGATTTAAGGACTGCTTCATTGTTTTCAACATGGAGTTGGAAGTTAAGTGGTTGTGATGCTTCTTGTTTACCATACTGAAAATGGGACGCTTCCAAACACGGTAGTATTGATTGTTATACCATGCTATTATTTAGTCCTGTTGATATATATTGCATTTATTGCAAATTTTGGTAGTAGTTGTTTAATTGTAGTTTTGAATGGTTACAATACCCTTTTATTCTTTTCTTGTAATATCTGATAATGTACACATTAAAGCTATCCTAAAAATATTTACTTATGTATACTCATTCAGTTGTCATTTGTATTGTTTAGGATGTGATTAGCTATGTGGAGAAAGTATTTTGTGCTAATAGCATGACCAACCAAGTAGATAATGGAAGCTCATTGCATCAACCTACTATGGTGTCAAAATCTGCTTCATTTTCTGCTACAATTCCTGGTGCCTCAAATTCTGATTCAGCTTCTTCTGCAAATGTTTTGGAAAGTTCGTTATCTAGAACTTTATCAGAAGAGGCACTTGAGGATGAATCATTGCAGTTACTATCATCCCTGGATATTGGTGGAGAGAATCTGCCAAGACCATCTAGTCTCCAATCTTCAAATGATGTTTCAAGGACTCAAACTGACGATTCTATCTCAACGGTTGATCTCAGGCTTAAGTTGCATCTTTACAAAGTCAGTTTTCTGCTCCTTACCAGAAATATCAAGGCAGCTAAGCGTGAAGTTAAGATGGCTATGAATATAGCGCGCGGCAAAGATTATACATGGGCACTTTATCTGAAGTCGCAGCTTGAGTATGCTCGGGGAAATCACCGTAAAGCGTGCAAGCTTTTGATGGCATCAAGTAATCTAACAGAAATCGGAATTTCTAGCATGTATTACAACAACTTTGGCTGCATCTTTTATCGTCTTGGGAAATATCACGCATCAAGTGTATTCTTTTCCAAAGCATTGCGTTACAGGTCAACTTTGTTGAAGGAGAAACCTGTAAAGCTAGCAACTTTCTCACAGGTTAAGTCTTGGCAGATGGCATATAACTCTGGTCTGTCGCTCTTGTCTTGTGGGAAACCAATACATGCTGCTCAATGTTTTTACAAGGCTGGTCTAACTTACTACAACAGGCCTCTCCTGTGGCTGAGAATTGCGGAGTGCTGCCTTATGGCACTGGAGAAGGGGCTTTTGAAGTCCAATTACTCTAGTCCATCTGATGGCTCTGATGTTAAAGTTCATGTTGTTGGTAAGGGAAAATGGAGGCAACTTGCACTGGAAGATGGGGTTTCAAGAACTGGGAAGTTTGATTCTGTTGGGAGAGATGATTTTTCTTTCGGCAACGGTAGACTGCCCGAGTTGTCAATGTCCCTTGCTCGGCAATGTCTTTTAAATGCATTGCACTTGCTTGAAAGCTCTGATTCAAAATATTTGAAGTCTGGTTTGCTTTCTGATTCTGCTGCTGAAGGAAGTGAATCAGGAGACTCGTCGTCTTCCAAGGCCACAAACTACAAGAATCTAGCAGGTGGTGATCCAAAATTATTGAATGCAGCAGTAGGCTCAGGGCAGGCCAACACAAATGGGGAGGTAAAAGAGCAAAAGGGTGGAAATGGTCAAAACACTTCTCTGCTAAACTCTGTGAGTGATTATGAAGATATTTGTAGGAAAGAGAACCAAATGATCGAACAAGCTCTTCTAGCTGATATGGCATACGTAGAGTTAGAACTAGAAAACCCACTAAAGGCTTTGTCAACAGCAAAGTCTCTTTTGAAACTTTTCGAGTGTTCCAAAATATACGTCTTTCTGGGTCACTTGTATGAAGCTGAAGCTCTATGCCTGCTGAACCGGCCAAAGGAAGCTGCTGAGCATTTGTCCGTCTATGTGACTGGTGGAAGCAATGTTCAACTGCCATACAGCCAAGATGATTTGGAAAAGTGGAGTGTGAAAAAGATAGTGGATTTTGAGGAACCGAATGGTGGGCCTTCATCTGTTAATGCATCGTCTTCTGATGAATTTCAAGGTTTTACGTTCCTCAAGCCTGAAGAAGCTCGTGGAACTATTTGTGCTAATTTAGCTCTCCTGGCCGCAGAACTGGGGGATCCTGGGCTGGTCCAAGATGTTATGCAAGCGACAGCTTCGGCACTAAACAGTCCCCACGTTATTCTTGCTACTGTTTACTTGGATCTTCTGCAGGGGAAGACACAAGATGCTCTTGCCAAGTTGAAACAGTGTAATCGTATTAGATTCCTTCCTGGTAGATCGACGCTGGATGGCTCTAGTTGATGGTCCGGGTTGTATTGATGGTTCTTGTCAGTTTTATTCAACCTATTTCTTAATTCGAATCAGCAGGTAGGTTAGCAATCCTTTGAAGGGAGGATTTGTAACATATATATAGTTCAAATCAGGAAATAAGTTTTTAACTTTCGATTTTTTTGTTTCTCAAAAATTTTCCTTGGTAGGCTGTAGTAATAGGTGGTGTAGCTGAGATTATTTGATTGTCTCAGATGCCCACCTAAAAGATTTGAGATGTAGTTTTGATTCAGGTGATTGTGTTTTAGAGCCTAACGTAGTTCAGCTTTGAATTTGTAGAGAATGTGTCATTGAGAGATGAATCAAAGAAATTTTCAGTTTAGTGTGGATGTTCTTGTTAGGTAGTGGTCTTCATATCAGCTGTAGTGAAGCAAATGTCTTTTAGCTTTCCTTTCTTTTCCTTTTTGATAGGCAAAGATTTTCACCTTTCATTTGGCAACTTAGGTCATTTGTTGTTCATTAGAAAAAGGTCAATAGATGATGATGGTCCTTCACATGTAACTTTATAGGGGAGGGTCCAAATTCTCATTTTTGTATACAACACGAAAATAGAAAAATTATTAGCTCTTCAATGGTAATTAGGCTAATTAGCTTACTATTAATCTAGAGTTACCACTTCGCAACAGCAATTGCTTGTGTCCGCCTACAGTAATTGCCACCTTAAACTAATTGATAATTGTTTTGAATTTTTCTAATAGACACTGCTTCTTCGTACACTTGAAATCACAACCAATCTAATGTGTAAATAGACAAATCAGCCAAAAGGGGGCCTGGAAATGAACGGATGTGAACCATCGGGTCTCTAATCATATGTCGTTCTTTTGTAACAGATTAATGCGATTAGTCCTCAGTGTTCACTGTGGATAGTAGCGTGTTATTTCGGGATCTATAATTTTTAGCTGTCGAGTCAAAGCGAAAACGGAAAGGGAGCAACCACTACAATCTTGAGCCACCACCGAAGATTTGTTTAAAGAAAATACGCATTATTATTCACTATAATATTCTTATCATAGCTCTGAGGTAAACTTTAACAATAGCAGTGAACTTGAATTCTAGCGTGCAAATAGTGAAGGCCAGACTTGCTAACATTGAGTTCAAAGCACTTTGCAGGAGGAAAACTTTTTATTACTAATCATTAACAAGCCCCTTCGAGCCGAAATGTACGACAAATTCAGTCAAATTATAGCAGGGGTTTGAGTCGATAAATAAATCATGCAACCGCTCATATTTAGGATTACTCTCTGTTTTTTTTTTTTTTTTTTTTAAGAGTCGGCGGTTTTAGACGCTGAACCTTTTACTTATAATTTTTTTCACCTGACCATCCAACCCAAGTGTTCCTCTATTTAGGACTACTTAATTTCACTTAGAGCGGAAAAGTTCTTGTCACCGGTGCTAAACAATTATTGAGGAAGGTTATCGTGGACTGAGCCAAGAATACTTCGCCTGATAAGTTTTAATGGAATTCTAGTGATGGCTGAAACATTTTCTGAATTGATCAAAAGTTACAGCAACAATGTTTGGCCACGGAAAAATCGTCAAAAGTGGAAGTATGAATTGCAAAGTGCTCTAAATACCATAAATTAATTTGAGCTTGCAAATTACTCCCCCCATCCCACTTTGATAGTCCTGTTTTCCTTTTTCTGTCCCAAATTGTAGTCCACTTTCCAATTGAAGAATATAGTTGTCTTTTAATTTCTCTAAAATACCTTTATTCAATGTAAGTTGTTATTGTTATAAACTACCTTATTCAATATAGATTGTTAGTAGCATTGAATATAACCTACCCCATTTAATGCATTTAGATTTTTCAAAACATATTGATATATAAAAAGTCAACTTTATTTAATGTAAGAGTATTTTAGGAAAATAGCAATCTAAATTTGTTTTTTCCAACAAAGTTAATTATTTTTTCTTAAACTGTGTGAAAAAAAAAACTAGAACTATCAAAATGGGATAAAGGGAGAAAATATTTGATTAGTCCTCTTGTCCGTACTTTTCTTGTTCCTTTTTGGAAATATGAAAATGTCACAGCTTTGATAGAACTATTACCTGCCTGAAATTGAAACCTTAATGGTGAGATTTAAAAGAAAAAATAAAAGGAAAAGAGTGATATTTAAGAAGTGAAGAGGAGGGATCAGTGAATTTGAACCCAAGACTTAAAATTTCTCATATAGAAAGACTAAATGGTGAGACTTGTGTTGTCCTTGTATAAAAGAAATTAAGGCTCTCATTTTTTCTGAGGAATTAATGCTTTGTTATTGACTGCAAATATGTCATATTTTTCACAATATTCGTCGGCTGATAATAATTGGTAATTGGTACACGTCTCCGCCCATTGGAGTGTTTTTTTTTTTTGTCAGCAACGATACATTTGTATAACGATACACATCTCCCCCCGCCCATTGGAGCGCTTACAAAAGCAAAAACAGAAATGAAGTACCATCGATTCCATAATTGGTACGTGCATGCATTTCTGTTTAGCCAGAGTACAATCAGGTAAATTTGACTAACAAAAAAGAAGAGTACAATCAGCTAAAACGCATCCTTTACGAGAGGAAAAATGAATGGGAAAGCTGAGGAACCACAATAAACTGATAAAAGCATCCATCTTCATCAATTAATTCCTTGCCTACGACACAATAATACGAAAGCACACATGAATACAGTTTCATTTTAATGAATGGGTGTACAATAATGCCGAAAGTAACACTTCCAAATTCCAAGCAAACAGAAGAGAAAAAGAAAGCAGTGAAAAAGAAGGGTTCGGGGTAGGGGTGATAAGGAGACAGAAAGGAGAAAGAGATAACAAATTGGAGACTTGGCATCACATCCGCTCATGTCGACAACATTTGTGCATCAATCAAATTAACCTGCAAGACCATCAACCGTACGTCATGAGATTTTCTGTCATCTGTAGTTTTAAGAATTAGTGAAGTCAATTACTACCATGCATGCGCAGGAATCAGGATTGCGTTGGTTAACCAAACAAAACGCTTGAAGCTAGCTAGATAATTACTAGTGACCTCCCCTTAATTAGGTACACCAAAGCAGATACCTCTTTTCCCAAAAAATTATTGAGACTGCTGAAATCGAATATCCTTATTTAAAGTCCGACCAACTGGAAAAATGCAAGACCTGATACCGATGCATCCTGACCATGCATTATAGGATGTACCATAGAACAAAGAAACACTAAAGAAATGTCAGCAGTCGGAGTTTTATACTAATATCTAAAGCTATACATGTATATATATATATAGTATTTTATAAGCATGGGAAAAAAGTTTAGCAAATTTTCCCAAAAGAAAGGAGAACGCAAAAGAATGCAGGAATAACCACGAAAAGTGGGGGTATAGAGAGGCCTGCTCTGAGAAAGAATACTCAACTCAGATCAATCTAGAGAGAGCAAGTGTAACCGGGAGGCGGTGTCTTCCCACAATAAACAAGGAGCTCGAGAGCAATTGGGACGAACATTTCGAGGTTGAGAGCCTTGAGCTTGAGTGTTGTACACAAGCAAACGGCAGCTTCAACATCAACCAGCCCTGAAAGAATTGGGCAGCACTCATTCACAACGGGATCTCCAAAACCAATGTGCATCACTCCACCAAGAAGATCCGCGCAAGCTCCCATCTTTAGGGTATCAACAGGACACTTGGCCTGCTTAGGTTTTTTAGGCTTAACCGGTGGTGGCGGGCAGGGTTTTGCTTTTGGCGGCTTCGTGGTGACTGGTGGCATTGTCACCGGAGGTAGTGTTATAGGTGGTAGGGTGATTGGTGGGTTCACAACTGGGGGTAGTGTCACAGGTGGCAAAGTTACTGGCGGCTTCGCGACTGGGGGTAGTGTCACAGGTGGCAAAGTTACTGGCGGATTCAGCACTGGAGGTAATGTGACCGGTGGCAATGTCACTGGTGGCTTCACAATGGGCGGTAGGGTTATGGGTGGCTTCACCACCGGGGGTAGAGTTACTGGCGGAAGGGTTACAGGAGGCTTGACAACTGGTGGGAGAGTAATGGGACCTTTAGGAGTTTTGGGCTTAGGGGAGCAGGAGCCACAGTCAGGATCAACAGGATTGGCAGAGGCAATGAGGAGCATAGAAAGGAGTAAAAGAGCCGTAATCTTGGAGGAATCCATGATTTTGTGTGGAAAAGAAGAAAGAGGAATGAGGAAGATGATTGGTGAACACTTAACACTGCAGAAGATGAATGATATCATATATGTTATATAGATTGATGATTGAACCAGTTCTGAGAGTCCGAGAGTATTGAGTGAGTGAGAGAAAACAAAAACAAAACAACCCTAAAGCAAAGCACGTGAAGATGGGGTGGGCTCAAAGGCAACTGCCAAATTGTGCTAGTTGGCAAACTCACCCTCTCAACCTCAACCTCAACCTCAACCTCAACCTCAACCTCGACCTCAACTACATGCATGCATCAGTCTTGCACTCTTACTATTCGATATTTTTATCTACCACTGTCACTGCAGTTTACTGCATCATACAACCGGTCTATCCTGCTGCAAAATACCCTAGCTATACATTAAAATGGATGGCTTCAACTTTTACTGCTGAATTCTTCCTCAGCATTACCGGACAAGTTACTCCTCCGAGTTTAGAACTCAATTAGGGTTTAGATATACACTTCACCGGTTCAGAAACCAATTAAAACTACTAGGAGGATGCGATTGCATTGCAACAATTTTATAGGGCCCAGTTATAACATAGACTGACTTCGTAAATTAATTAGACTAGTTCAGCTTTGTGTCTTCTGTTAATGAAACTTCTACTTCTACGAGCAAAAGCATGGGCGTCCATTGCAGTTCTTTGTAATCGTAAATTACGGAGGAAATTAATGTAAGAAGCAGAGCTAATGCAGTCGTCCATCGCATTTTATGACCCGTATCATCATTGATCAAAGCCTTTCAAAATCTAAGCAGACAGTTTTTTTTTTTTTTTTTTTTTAAGGCAAAAAAAAAAAAAAAAGGGCAGGCAGACAGTTCACATCGGCCGATGGGGAGCCCATACTTGGTTACTCCGCAAATATCTTAATACCAGTGAATCCACGTTACTTCTGCGGGGATGGATACATCACTTATTTGTTTGCAAGTGCATAGGCATGTGCCAACTTAGATTGCTTTTCGGTATATAAATTGCAAAAATAGACCTCTCGTACGATATATTGCAGGTTATAATTGACAAGTTTGGTTTAAAAAATAAAATAAAATAATGTTTTATTTTTATTTTTTTGGTGGTTTTACGATCAACAACAGTGCAATAATTCGGCTTGGAGATCCCTATTCTAAAGCAAGAATAATAATGTCGACTAAGAATATTCAAGATCAAAATTGTTTCTGCCACAAGAAGGATGCCAACTTTTGTTTAGCAAGTTGATTTATCAATTTTCTCAGCGAAGCTTGGGCCCGCTATCCACTCTAAAGAGACAATCGATCTATCTAAGGCCATTTTTGCGCACAGCATCCCCACAAACACCAGAAAGTAGATGGTCTAACAGATACAACATGGCATCAAAAATCAATTTTATGTATGCAAGTTTCTGGGTATGCATGGGATCAAGAAGTACGTGCATGTGCAGATTGCCTGTCGCTTGAGAATTTTTATTTTTATTTTCCCCTTTTCTCTCAGCTAGCGATTTATGTAAATATTTTTGCGTCAGGTAATCCAAGGTTGTACCTTGTAGCATAAACTTAGTCCTGCGTTTTCAAAAAAAAAAAAAAAAAATATATATATATATATATGGCCTGACTGAGATAGGATCCTGAAAATGATATTGAATTTTGGGATTTCATGCTCGCGGTCACCACTGTATGAGTCGTCATGCTCGATCCCACAAAATTATTAGAGTTTCGAACTTAAGTAGGACTCGGCCCAAAATAATTATATGTAATATATCTTTAATATTTGTGTATTTTTAATTATATGAGTATCTATATACTCTTAATTTTTTAAGTTAAAATATGCATAATTATAAATTACGTTTATTATTAGTTATGTACAAATAATATAGTTAAATATCTAATTATTTGGATTGGACTTTAATTGGACCGAGTCTAATAAAATTCAAATTTAGCTCATATTTGAATCGAATCTAATATTTAAGCTCAAATTCTGTCCAATCCAATTAAATAGTATAAGTTTTAGCCTTTTTGGGCCGAGTTCAGGCTGGTTCGGCCCGTTGACGGCGCCGGTGTAAGCCCAGTCAGTCAAAATTTGAAGTAAATAAAGCTCAGAATTTGCGCTTCATTCACCATGTCCAGGTTGCCCTATACTTGCCAATGACTGGCCAGTGCTGGGAACAATTCCAGTGCGCGTTTGGAGAACCTTAATCGCGAGTGAAAAAGGCCCCCCCCCCCCCAACAAAAAACCTCCGCTCTCCAGCTCAACCATGAACATTGAAGGACAAAGCAAGTACAGAATTAGTGGAAGACGTCATTTCTGGTCTCTGTCGTCGATGAGGTGTTGATAAGTCGGCTCAGTGTTTTCCATGTTACTGTACAGAAGGGACTCTCATGTTTATGGTACTTATAATAAGCTCTGGTAGTACCCAAAGTAGTATTTCCTGTCACTTAATTGCGCACTAGTACTCCGTCAAGTGGAAATGGAATAATTAGAAATGAAAGAACACTACCCTGGAATCACGGGTGCAAGAAATCTCATAAATGATCAATTATGGATGAACCCTGCTTCTCCTTTTGACTGAGACAATACATAGAAAATGAAGTGATATTCATAGATGAATACTTGCGGGTAGAGTTTTCTTTTATAAGACCACAAATCCTTGGCAATTGTTAACGCCAATCATGTAGAATTTAGGAGGTTGGTGTCTCAAGATTTTGACTAATAATGAGACGTCATCAATTATTAAATATTTGAAGGTTTAGTGTCCATGTAAATGCGGCATTATCGAGCTCATGCAAGCAGGAGGATTGTTATAAACGATCGTCTTTGCACAGCTGAATTTGCAATATTCGCATGGTTATCTTTTGCCAGAAGTGTTTACATATACAGAAAAGGAGCCAACAATTAGATAGAACACATGGCAGACAATTGATCAAAAGCAGACTAGTTCGCAGCAGAAATTTTGGAGGCAAATGCTAAAACAACAGCACAGCAAGAGCAGCATGTGGAAAGTTGAAATGGGCCGGGTAGAGGCAGAAGGGGGCTGAGTACAGCTTAGAGGTTGTGGATGCATCGGCATCATGCACATATGGTCACCACCACATCCCACAACTCACCCAGGCTGATGATGGTGCGTGTGTTTGGGTGGGGTGTTCATCCCTGAATGGGGGCCTGTTACATTTGGTAGCTGAATCATTTTTTGTAACCTTGTGCACATCCGTGATTCTGCTTACTTCGTCCTGATATGATAGGTCCTCTTATATTTCTTGTCTTTTTTTTTCCTATATTGCTTTCTCGACTTTTGTCCTCAATCTTTCTTTCTTCCACTAGTAAATATTGGGTCGCGTGAATATAAATACTTGGACAAGAAACCGTATATGTTCTGCTCTAGACCGGAATAATAAGTACGAAATGCAACTCATATGGCTGAGAAGGAACAAAGTAACAGCTTATTATGGAGCTACATCAAAAATTCCCCGAAAAGATGATGGTTAAAACTTAAAAGGAGACGGAAAAAAAAAGGGTCCTAATTCTTTGATAAATTTTCTCCAACATTTCTGAAAGATCCGCGTCAGTCTTATTGGTTGTGCCTTCGCACCGGAAAACATTCCCTTAACTGATGAACAATTAAACAGGGTGCCATGCCACAGAGGACTGTTAAATGAAGAGGATTAGATACAAGGACAGTGCACCTCATGATCATGAATTAGTCATTAATATCTATTAAGCTCGTAAAGAAATTGTTGGAATTACTTCCAGTTTAAAAGCACAACGACTGTAAGAGGGAATTTACTAGTATATGGATAACGCAGTGTAGGAGGAGAAGGCGGCTTTTTGCTGGAGGTAAAAATTAGTAATTGCATGGTGCAATGGTATAGAAGGGAATGGAACTTCCCATGTCAAGAATGCAAATTCCAAGTTCACCATAGAGAGAACGAGGGAACAATAATGGAACTCAAAACAAGGGTAAATCCATTGAGGTCATTTACAAGTACCAGCCACAAATTGTTGCGCTGCATGGGGCATGGGCCTCTTAATTACTCTTGTCCTATGTGTTGTCCAACATTCAGAGACCGTGATGGCAGTAAATTCCAATGCTTCAGATTTCCTGGTCTAATGAATGGTTCCAAGTGTTTATTCCATCCATCAGATGATTAGATGATCAGGTCTAGTATTCCAGTTGATTTGGTGGTTCTGCATTGTCCAAGTTTAACCCCATCGTTTAAAGAACAACCATAAAAGTAGAAGAAAGAAATCAAGCGACTGAAAATCCCAGGTGATTTACTAATGAGACGGAGGAGGGGGAGAGAACAGGAGCCTATATTTCGTAAAGGGCGCCTGTATAAGCTCACCTTGTCCATGTCTCTATCGTCTGATCCCAGAGCAAGACACATCAGGAATGGCCATGGGATCAAAATAACATCACAGCTCGGGAAATTCTTGTTTATTTTTTTATTTATTTATTTTCTGGAAGCCAGCTAGGGATATTAGACCTTCAAGAAAAGGTATCGAGTATCTGAAAGGTAATCGTATGAATTTAGGAGGTAAAAGATACTCCAAAAGAATTAACTTATACCTGATCGATCGTTTCTCGATACCACACCAGTTATAACCATCTTTATGCTAACTTCTGAGTTTCTTTTCAATATAAAATACTTGTTGTACTTGACGCTAATTACTGGTGCTCTATGCACAGAAGAATGAGGTTAATGTTGGAACTAATACGTGTGACGGAATCTTTGAAATTGTTGGTGCGAAGTTAGGAACGTAACTGTGATCCAAAAGTTTAAGCTATTAGGTTTCGGACCTTAGTTACATATTAACCGTTCTTTCTCTATCTTTCGGATCAATGTGGGACATAATCCTACCGGATCCCCTGCCCATGGCTCACTTGGTCCAACACCAATCAAACTCTTTGGCACTTTGGTCCACCACTAAGAAGAAAATTTTTACCGGCCCAACTCCAAGAAGGATCCACTTACTCATGAGTAATCCAGTCTCACAACCTGAAACTCTGATACCAATTTGATAAAGAGAAATATTTCGAGAGAGCCCACCAAAAAGCCCAATATGTAAATCAGAAACCCA